GTAAAGGAATATTAATGAGGTGGCATGCAAATATGGCCATCTATCTTGGCTGGGTGAACTAATTGGGGTTTATCTGATGTCTGTAGAGCAGTCCATCTCCAGAGACAGCCGTTTAGGTGATCTCAGCCTTTAACGAGTGTGCGGTAAATCCCACGAAACTTCCAGCCCATTAGCCAGGAGACACGCCAGTCATTCACTGAGGAATAACATCACACGCTAACAGGCACTCCTGAACATGGACGTCTATTAGCCATTCGCCTCTATCATTCTATATAATCACAATTACCATTAAATTGAGATTCACAACATCCTTCCGATTTACAAATAACGGAACTAAAGCAAGATCATAAAACGGATTGTTTCAATTATAAATACTAATTGCTTTTATTCTGCATGGGGAACATCAGTAATGTACATCTTTGCGCAAACCTTGTTATCACTCCCTTGGGATGAAGTGAAGAATTGAGTGTGAAATTATGTATTCTACACGTAATCTTTATGTTATTTTTTTCCTGCCATAGTCCAGATTTTATCATGTAGTCAAACCCATCCGAGTGTTTGAATAAGTCCTTTTTGCTGATGGGCACTTTTCCTTTTTCTTCCAAGTGAACTGCCTAAAGATTGTGAACCTATTCGATTTATTTAAAAAATATGATTAACATTACAATTAACTATGTTAAATGCATAATCTGACTGAGACAGGGCGCATATTGACTTAGAATATAAAAATGTAAAAATTTTAATTCTTTAACTTTTTACTGCTTATGTATCTTTTAAGCTCAAGGAGTAATGGTTGGAAAACATCCAACAACACTCCTCAGTCATGCAGTGAATTCATCATTCATCAACATTTCCACTTTAAGTTATATCTGTCAGTCTATTCTCCTGCAATCTCACGTCACAGACTCACAGGCTATATTACAGATCATTTTGCTATTCGGCACACAGTCTCTTTACCTTCAGGACCCTGCGGTCACTTGGTAAATGCAGGATATGAATACGTTGTGTTAGATTTCACACTGCCAAGACATACGCTGCCGGTTTTATTTCAGTTAGTTTTTGTCGGTCCTCAAACGTCATTCCTTGTGTTCCAGTGTCTCCTACGTTCCTCGTGTGATCATTAAAGACTGTGAATTGAAGTTATCTCCGTGTTTCCTCGTTCCTCGCTCCTCGCTCCTCACCTTAGGCTAAAGTGTGACAATAACGAACAGTACTACATAAGGCTGGTTTGCAGAAAGGCGTAAGGAATCCTGAACGCATCCTTTGAACATCTGTTATCATCAAAACCACTTGTAAAGGCAGTGGTAATGTTAAGCACCACACAAATGCCTGGGCCCCGGAGATTTGAGAGTACTGAAAAGACTGAATGAATCAATGCCATGTCAACAATTGCTATACAGTCAGTTTACAGTCTAATATTACTGCATGCAAATAAAAAAAGAAATAAAAAAAGGGAATTACAGCAGAACTGGTTAGATTATTAAAAGATTCAAAATAAAATTAAAGACATCTATATGCTAGCATATGCCTAAAATTTCAATATGTACTTTGAGCAAATCTACAGTTTTAAAAAGTACAGACATTCTCTTCCAGAAAAACAGACAAAAAAAAGCTGCACTGCATGCAAAATAATAAATGTTAAATATTAATTCTTCATCAATTCATATTAAATATATTGTATGAAATAAATACACTCTTATTAAATACATAAAATTGTGTGAAATAAATTTTCATATTACATAAATTCATATTAAATACATTTATATTAAGTAAATATTCATATATAGTCATATGAAATAAATATATTCATATTAAATAAAAATGTGTATTAAATATTCATATTACATACATTTATATTAAATGAATACATTCATATCAAATAAATAAATTTGTACTAAATAGGTCAATATTCATATTACATAAATTCATTAAACAGGTTAATAGTCAATCTTGCTTGTGTGTGCTGTTTTGTCTTAATGTAAAGTGGTTACATGCACTAAGATGATAACTAAACATCAAAATCACATCATCTGAAGGCAGAGATGTTAAATCAGTTGGCAAACGCCAAAAGCTCAGCCCAAAACTGCTGCCACTAAAGCTCAACGGGTTCAACAGCAAAGCCAACATCAGAGGATCATCTGAACACCTCGGGGCTTCAGCTCCTTGCCTCCAGCAAGACTGGGAGTTAAAATAGAAAGTGGCCAGAGAGGATGCCACAGGGTCCAACAGGGGAGTCGAAAGGCTTTTTGCAGTTTGTTTTTAAAAGGCACAACTAAATGGACCATGTGCTCCACAAAAGATTCAAGGACGCTGTTGGCAAATAAGCTTTTAAAGCGATGCACGCAACGGAGACGGTGCATTATTCAGAAGCGCAGGTGACTGTAAACAAGACAGCAAAGAGAAGAGGAAGAAATATCTCAGCCAGGACTAGAAGAATGAGGCAAAAGAGTGCAAAATGAGGGAGAGAGATGTTGCAGGAAAGAGGTTTTTTTTTTTGTTAACATCATTCACATTTATAGCGTTCACTAAAAGTAGCCTGATTGTACCCCCTGACCCCATTACTGAAGCCTAGTAGAATGAAGACGGCGAAAAATTATTCTGAAAAAGAAAATGAACGCCCTTTTGCTAAGAAGACCAGCTTAATTTTTCATTCTGGTCCAAAGCTCGTCCACCTAGAAAACAAAAATGGAGAGCAAATGGACACTTTTGCTGGTGTCTCTACCTTGCCAGATGTTCCTCCTGAGAAAAGACATCTCATGTGTCCTAAATCTATAATTAAAAACCAGATCAATATGAACTCAAACATTTCTCAATAAATTCTTCTAATCTAGCCATATTTTCATATTATCTGTGCGTCAACAATTAACTGTTTTTTTTTGTTGTTTTTTTTATTCTGGGAGAAGTATCTGAGACAATTATTTGTACATTTTATGTGCGATAAAGTTTTATTGTTTTTTCATGTTTAATAAATTTTATTAATATTTAATTATACATAAAGAATACATAAAATACATATGTCTACTAAATAAATAATAAATACACTTGTTTTTGATAAAGGAATAAATCCATATTTAATAAATATTCACATTAATAACATAAATATTCATATTTAAGTTCCATTTTTAAAAAGAAAAAAAAATTTTTTTATAAGAAAATATTTAGAAATATATTTAATAAGTAAAGAAAATATTAAATTAATTTAAATAAATGTCCACCCCAACACATTCAAATATTTGCATTAAAAAGATTAATAGTCAAAGACTTGTGTGTGTGTGTGTGTGTGTGTGTGTGCTTGTGAAAGAGAATTCATTGCCTTTACATATTATCTGTGTCGTCAAATGACTAACTTGTGTCTATTTTTATTTCTAAATTTGAAGAGAAACAATCGAGACTAAGTTACTTGCAAAGTTGATGTGAAATAAAAATGTACTGTTCATCATATTTAATAAATTAAATTAATACTTAACAATTGTCCATAATGAATGAACAAAATATTTGTTCTTAACTAAAATAAATTAATATTTGACACATAAATATTCATATTTAATAAAGTTCAATTTCTAATAAATATTCCTTTTTAAAAGATACATAAAATATATTTTAATTAAATTAATATTTATTTATTTATATGTCCAGCCCAACACATTTAAATGTTTGCATTAAAAAGACTTGTGTGAGCGCTTCTGAAACAGAATTCTTTCTCTTTACATATTATTTGTGTCGTCAAATGACTAATTTGTGTCTATTTCAAGAGAAACACCAGAGACAAAGGTAATATGCGATAAGATTTTACTGGTGGACCATCATGGCAGCTTTCTGGTGAAGCTGGTTAGTAGTCTGGGTGGTTAACTAGTTACAAAGCAGCATCCCATGCTAGGATCCGTATACATAATGCATGCTGGCAACCAACTATGACGATCTTTTCATAAGGATCCATATATTGATACAATGAAAACTCATCCTGAGGTTGTCAAAATATATAGCGAGGCATTTAAAAAAATAAATTGGTCTTTGGAGTTCCTGGCAGAAGTCTTACACACTGATATCCCAACAACAACAATATTAAAGACAGCAGAACAAAATTGATTGTTATAACCGCCGGTGTCTTTTCCGAAATTGTGATTCCCGCTGGTTTCTTCTCCAGCCTCAGCTATTACACTGAGAGAAGCAGCCAAACGGTCAGTGATACATTGCAGGGGTGTTTGATCAATACGTTTTACCATTCACCATGAGTTCTGTGCAGCATCTTTAATCTCATTCACATCCTTAATGAGGAGCGACTGAAGAGCTGCTGCTGGCTTTATTCAGCCATTCACCTCCAATGCAATGAGGGACAACGACGTCCCACAGGCTTATTCGTCTCAACAGTCCAATCAATTCCTTGCACTTGCAATTTGTGTGATTAACAGGCGTCACAAAAACAGAAGAGCTTGATAGAAAACCTTAGACATATGATATGATCATATAAAAATCAGACATTTACATATTTATTTACAGAAACGAGCATGAATGACCTTTTTAAACTGCTTCTGGCTGCAACATACAGCAGGATTGGGTGAAAACACAAGCGATGCAAACCTCAAAACTTACATAAAAGCCATACGGGACTAGAAAGGGAAACTATTCTGCTTATTTTAAGAGCTGAGGCAGCTAATGTAAAATCAGTCATGTTAGGGTATTTAATTGTTACTTAAAAAGAGTTTTTTATTGCCAAGAGCACGCAGACGTGCTCAAACACAATTAACACCCTATTACTCCAACAAGATTAGTTTTCGCTACAAGATTATTCATGGATGGAGAAGTTTATGAGGTTATCATTTCTGCTTAATGTTACGATGCTCTTACTTAGGAGCAGGCCATCTTCAGTAGATAAACCATTACGTACTGCTGCAGTCTTTCCACAAAAACAGAGCAACAGCACCACCTTGTGCATCACAACACACATTTCCAATATCAGAATTTAATGCAGATTTGATAATAGACAATGAACACACATACACACAACTGCAACTACAAAGCTGTTCATTATTAGTGGGAATAGCTAACATTTTTTCTGAAACAAATAATATATAGCATGTAAAAACATATGCAAAAAATAAAATATAAAATATAAAATAATTTAATAAATAAAAAATCCACATGTGTGCACTCACAGGTGTTGTATCCTGCTCAGAAAGTGCCTTAAACCATCCTGGGACTGCATCACACTACTGCTGGCACCTGTCAAAAAGAGATTATATCAGGTGTTTTATTATATTAATAATATATAAGACAATAGATATATAACAAGTTATGTGATGGCAGCTTTGAAGAATAATAATTACCAATAGGCTGTAGTTACATCACATTTGCTAGTCAAAGGCAGGTGTTATTACAGCATTTGATTGAACGTAAATTTTAATACACCATGAATGAACCATCGATATTTTTGTCCGTCTTCCCGGTAGAGAAATACTGCATTGTAAATTATTAAACGCAATGTACATACGATTCAATAACAACAAAAACAACATCTGGAAAATACCGACATGGAAATTAATTTAAAAAAACAGTGTGGCGAACAAATATAATTACACTAATATTAATATAGGCTTAATATAGTGTTTTATATGGTGATGTGTATAGCTTTTGTATTTAATCCGATGGGTAACTAGACCAACACCAAACCCAATTTTACAAACTCACCAACCAAGTGAAAATGTCCAAAAGCTTGCTTTTTTAGAATCGCGTCAGTTAAACTAAAAAGTCTTCGATTAGGTCGAAGTTCATTTAATTCCCAACAATTTTATATAACTTCTAGGTTTTAATATTATTCTTTTTAGCATTCAAAATCACCTCAGAGAAATCACCTGGCGTCGATTGCTCGCAGAGCGTCAGCGTATGAACTCACTGCGCATGCGCGGTTTCTCTTGCCAAATCGCTCAGGTTTGCGTAATTATAATGTTAGAAAAAATCGCGTGATGATGTTAGTAAAAATTATGGGAGCCTCTAAAACTGCGGCACAAGATTTGAATGTATATCATTAACAGTGTAAGCAGGACACAAACGCGAAGGCAAGGTGAGAGGTTTTGCCCGTATTTAGGAAAAGGTGGAGAAATAGATTCAGCTTTTTACAGATAAAGCATGACTTAAAAAGTAGTTGCGTGTTTGTTGTGCACTTCAAATAAATCCAAAACTTAGGCTATTAAATATAAGAATTTACCAGAAAACAGAATTCATCAAATATAGGCATAGCCTAATATAATATCTGTAAACATAAAAATAATAATTAATAATAATAAAAATTAAAAAAAATCCTGTAGTTTTGTTTGTTTGATTTACGTGGTTTAAAATTACAAACACATCACTACACCTCTTACTGTGAATAAGAGCATGAAATGACTGATGTAGCAGTAGGCTACTTTGCTGTAAAATGACAGTGATTAAGTGTCTGCATTAGAGTGACCTCTTGTATATTAATATTAACTGCAATGATGTGACATCCACACCATGTTGTTGCTTGGGTTCAATTAGTCATACTGTCCTGCAAAAGAAAGATTAATACACTTCCTCTTCCAAAGCTCTGATAATCACTTTATTGTGACTGGTGCTGATTCGGAGTGTGGTAAATGTCAATAAAATGCTTAATTTGTACTTTATAGAGACAAATTATTCCATTCTGATATAGAAAAAAAAACACGTACAGAACAAAATATGCAGCAGACATAAGAGTATCTGTTAAATTCAGAAGGGAGTAGCCTAAGTAATGCACAATGCAAATTATAAAGTTTTTTTTTAGTGCTTTATTTAAAATAAATCAATAACAAATAACACTGCTTAATGTGTAACTTGTGTTCTCTTTAAATTACATGAATAAAAAGTGCAAAAATTATTTTTTTGTGTATACAATTTGTATTAATATATATTTAACAGAAGTAAGCAATGTTGGCTTGATATCTTCAATTTAAATAATTGTACATTTTTCTATTGCATTTTATTTTTTTTTTTTTACAAACACAAAATGCTAGTTCTACTGTCCTATTTCATAAATAACTTTTTTTTTTTTACTATTATTTGTGTAGTTGATTATATTTATGTAATATATTTTTTTGGTTTTGCACATTAATTTTGAGCAGAACTGTTTTAGCAGACATAATGGTAACTGTTTACATTTATTTTATTTTTTTTACCTAACTTTACCTGTTCTTTATGAATTCCATTACACCTTTTAATGAATTTAATATATAATAATAAATGTATTGATGTGATTATTGCAATATCTCAATATGTGGTAAACTAGAGTTAACTTTGATGCTTTTAAAACAGAATACAATTTGTTTGGAATATTCACTACAGATGAAGTGATTGATGAGGAGGTTTGACTTGAACCAGCAAAGATGAGGACAAATTACATGAATGAGGGAGAAAATACAAGGAGAGATGAGGTAACATACAGAACAGAAGCATATTATTGAAAGGATATGTATGGCACATCAAGAATTTCAAAGAACGCAAAAGAGTATTTTAAAGTGCCTTTTTTTCTATTTCCACCCCTACAAAAACCTAATGTAATTACTCTTTTCCTTGAGCATTTTTCAAACATTATTTCAGCAATTAACGCCAAAGCTCTCTATGTAGTTGCTGAATATGTACACCAATACTACGTTAACATACAAGCTGAAGACATTACATTTATTTGGAAGAATCATACTTATAAAAACAGTATTTATTAGTCACGTTCCAATTGACTATTCAGCTGAGGGTACAGAGACAATACTGAAGTTAATATATAATAATAATGAGGGAAAGACGGCAAATCTAATTGATACAAGCAAATGGAATGTGGTACAAAAGTAGGCATAAATACAAAACACAACTGACAGCACAGCCGTAGCACATTATATAACTAAAAGAGAGAGATCTAATTTACAACTCTACACCTTGTTAAAAATGATAATTTCCCTCCTCTGAATTGCAAAAATGTTTTGAACTTTCTATTTAAAGAATCCTGGGGGAAACAATCTGCAAAAATATTAAGCAGCAAAAACGGTTTTCAACATTGATAAAAAAAAATGTTTCTTGACCAGCAAATGAGCATATTAGAATGATTTCTGAAGCCAAAAAAAATTTGAATTATTTTGTTATCACTGATACTCTGTTATAGTTAAAGGGATAGTTCACCCAAAAATGAATATTCAGTCATTAATTACTCACCCTCATGTCGTTCCAAACCCGTAACTCTTCGTTCATCTTCAGTCCTTACTACCTTTCTGAGCCATAAAATGTTTCAGTTGCGTTGCTGTCTATGGAGGGTCAGAAAGCTCTCGGATTTCATCAAAAATATCTTAATTTGTGTTCTGAAGATAAACGAAGGTTTTACGGGTTTGGAATGACATGAGGGCGAGTAATTAATAACAGAATTTTCATTTTTGGGTGAACTGTCCCATTAATATTTTTTTTTTATATATGTAAAGTTTTAGTAATTTCTTTGGGGTGATTTTGCCATTTTTAATCAGCTTTTTAATATGTCTATGATATTTAGCCATTTTTATTTGTTAGTTTATTAAGTTTTAGTTATTTTAGTACTTATTTTAAGAGCTTATATTTTAGTACAAATATTGCCTTGGCAATTACCTGAAAGAAAATACGTTTTTTTTTTTTTTTTAATTAATGTTTATTTCAAGTAACAAAAAAGTTTTTTTCTGGCTGTATTTAACAATATCCCTGCTCTGCATTATAAATCCCAGTAACACTACTTTGGTGTCCTTGTTACACAATGTTACTTACTATAGTAATAACAGTAAATTATGAATAATTACATGCAACTAACCCTACATCAAACCTTAATCATAACCCTATAGTAAGTACGTGTTCTTAATGAATATTAATCAGTACGTATTACAATGTAGCAAGGACACCTTAAACAAAAAGTGTAATCTAAACCTCTCATTGAGAGACCGATGACAGAATGTCACTCACTTTAGAGTCCAGTGCTTTCTTGATGCTGATCCTCCTCTGGATTCGGGCCTCTCCTCTCTCGATCTGAGCCATGATCTTCTCAATGTCCTGCAGCTCATTGCAGCGCTCCCAGAACACAGCTGCACACAAGCACAACACATCTCGAGCACACGCTTCCTGTATACGGTTGAGCTGTGCGCTGGTGGACGGCGTATCGACATACCAGAATATTCCATGACCTCCTCTGGGGTTTTGCCCTCGACCTCACGGGCGATGTTCTCGATGTCGTCTCTTCCCCACTTCTCATTGGCCTTGATGAACTGGTTGAAGTCACGCTTGGTCCAGATAGTAAAACCCTGAGAACAGAAGACATGTTGACATGAGCTGCTACACAAACATCACCTCATGGATTCTAGAAGGTCGAAACATTGGAAAGCACAATTCAGACTAAGATAAGGAGTTTAATGTTATCACACTGAGATCAATTATACTTAAAGGTGTCATGTAAATATGAGAAGATATGGAAGTACACTCCAGTGGGCTGTCACGTGAATTCCCCGCTGGGATTTACCTGTGAGAGGAGGTTCTCCTTCTCCTCCAGCTCTTCCTCATTAAGTGGTTCAGCTTCATCGATCTTGGCCTGTTCCTCTTTCTGCATTTGGGCCGAGTTGGGCAGATCGGGGTTTCTTGGCACCTGTTCATGCATTATGAACTTTAGTAGGAATTATTGCTTTTGAAGAGTTTATAATGTTATTATAACTGTATATACTACTATATGAACATACTGAAAGTTAAAGTCAACATGAAATCTACTTGTGTAATGTGCCATCTTTGTAAATGAAATTTTGAGCAACAGTGAGACTCAACAATGAGAACAATGAGAGTGTGTACTAAGAAAGTACACTACAGTTCAAAAGTTTGGGGTCCTTAAGTGTAAGAAATTAACACTTTTATTCAGTAAGGATGTATTAAATTAATCAACAGCGACAGTACAGACATTAATAATATTGCAAAAGATTTTTGTTTCAAATAAAAGCTGTTCTTTTGAACTTTCGATTCATGAAAGAATAAAAAAAAAATTTAAATTAATTTCAAAATTGATGATAATATGAAATCTTTCTTGAGCAGCAAATCCACATATTAGGATGATTTCTGAAGGATCACGTGACACTGAAGACTGGAGTAATGATGCTGAAAATTCAGCTTTAATCACAGGAATAAATTACATTTAAAAATATATTCACATAGAAAACAATCAGTTTAAATTAATTATATTAATTTCATAGTATTATACTATAGTTTTGATCAAACAAATGTAGCCTAGTTGTGCATATGAGACTTTTTTTTGAGGAAAAAATAAAAATAAAAAAAGTGTCAATTTTGTTGACCCCAACCTGAAGCTCAAAATATAGACACACCTTGTAGCCGATAGTCTTCCTGTAATACAGGATCTCTTTCTCCAGCAGCTCAAAAAGCCGAGGGGGAAAGAACTGGAAGTCTTGAACATTGGGCTGTTTGGGAGGACGGGGAGCCTGAGGGAACAGGAGAAAGTCCATTAAGACAGCTCTAAGGTTTCCAATTCAAATGCTGATTCCGGTCAACAGCATAAGGGCTAATAATACCTTTGGTGCTTTGGGCTCGCTGACACGAAGGGCCTCTCTGAAGTAAGCATCCACAGCGTAGTTGGCCTTGCGCTCTCTCTTGGGTGGCTCAATCCAGTTAGTGATGACCTGAGGAGGAGGGGAGTTCAGATCAGTCTATCATTTTCAACCCCAAACTATAATGACAAGTACTTGTTGCGATTTGTAATGCATTACCTTTTTCTTTTCTCTGTAATCTTCACCCTCAAAGTTGTACACGCTGTTCTCTGTGTCCATGGTGAAGTTCCTCAGTGAGCTTTCGCCAAGATTAGCCAACTTTTCCTTCATCTCCATGGTCTAAAACAACAATTAGAAATGTTATAAAGAACATTTCTTTCTTTCGCTTTTAAATTTCAGTTTAGCTTTGTGAAGTAATTTCCCTAGATCAGGTCCTACCTTCTTCTCTCCTCTCTCCAAGATGGCATCAATGTCTTCATCGGTGATCTCACTCTCCTTAGAGGCGAACACATGAGTGGCACCATGTCGAATGATGGACAGCATCTCGTCTTTTCCCAGTTTGCTTGTGTTTGGATCGACCAGCCTGCCTGTTGGGAGGCAACAGTATTAACTATTATAATAAAAAATAAACTAAATAATAATAATAAAAAAATATATATTTTTATTAAAACACAGATGCATTAATTAGAAGACATAATGACCAAGTTATTTTTAAAATGTATAATTTACATAAGATTTTATATATTATATAAAATATATTAATACATTTCATTTTATAAATACATACATATATACGCAGTCACATGAATTAGAAAATTTCTTATAAAAAAGAGTGACTAATAATGTAATAAAATATTATAATTATAATTT